GTCACAAATCACATTGGCCTATTAAAGGCTCTGAGAGGTCCTGCAGTAAAGAGATTTATTTACTTTTGATTAATCCAGTGTTGTCTCAGATTGATTCTGCAGATTGCCTACTAACATTTCCATTAACACTCTCTTAGGGAAATGTTGATCCAAATCAATCCTCATTTTTCATGCGGATAAATTGCGGCCTAGAGGGACAGGGACTGCCCAAAGTCACAGAGAGAGAGTGTGTCAGAGCTGGAAAACACCCTCGCAATATGCCTCATCCCAAAAGAGGCTCTGTGGGCTCCCCAGCACCCTGCACCCCCTTTCCCTCCATCCCAGCTATGTGTCCCTCCACAGCCCTGCAGGATGGAGCCAATCAACAGGACAGAGGTCTCTGAGTTCTTTCTGAAAGGATTTTCTGGCTACCCAGCCCTGAAGCGCCTGCTCCTCCCTCTGTGCTCAGCCGTGTACCTGGTGACCCTGCTGGGGAACACAGCCATTGCGGCGGTAAGCGTGCTGGACTCCCACCTGCTCACGCCCATGTACTTTCTCCTAGGCAACCTCTCCATCCTGGACATCTGCTACACCTCCACCTTTGTGTCCCTGATGCTGGTCCATCTCCTGTCAGCCCGAAAGACCATCTCCTTTATTGGCTGCACAATCCAGATGTGTCTGAGCCTGTCTGCAGGCTCCACAGAGTGTCTGCTGCTCGCCATCATGGCCTGTGATCACTACCTGGCCATTTGCCGGCCACTCAGCTACCCCGTGCTCATGAGCCACCGGCTCTGCTTGTTGCTAGCGGGAGCCACCTGGGTCCTCTGTCTCTTCAAGTCAGTGACTAAGACAGTCATCGCCATGAGGCTGCCCTTCTGTGGCCACCATGTGGTGAGTCACTTCACCTGCGAGATCCTGGCAGTGCTGAAGCTGGCATGTGCTGACATATCGGTCAACGATGCCTTCCTGCTGGTGGGCATCATCCTCTTGCTGCCTGTGCCCCTGGAATTCATCTGCCTCTCCTATACCCTTATCCAGGCCACCATCCTGAGGGTGCCCTCAGCCACCAGGCACTGCAAAGCGTTCTCCACCTGTTCAGTGCACCTGGCTGTGGTGCTGCTTTTCTATGGCACCATCATCTTCATGTGTATGAGACCCAAGAGCAAGGAGGCCCGCATCTCTGGTGAGGTCTTCACAGTCCTCCATGCCGTGGTCATGCCCATGCTGAACCCTGTCATCTACAGCCTGAGGAACAAGGAGGTGAAGGAGGCAGCCAGGAAGGTGTGGGGCAGGGGCCGGACCTCCAAGTGAGGGCGGCCAGGCTCTGCAGCTCAGTAGGCACAGCCTTTGTGTGCCCGCTGAGAGGATGGGTGGAGTGCAGGACTGTGGGTCTGGAATCTTCATCCCAGAAAGGCAGAACCGAATCCCCGATCCTGCCACAGACTAGCTCCTCACAGTCACCCTGCTGCTCCTTCCCCCGGCCTCGCCCTGCACCAGCTCTCAGCATCACTCCCTGCATCTTCACACCAGCCTCCTGGCTGGCCTCAAGATTTCAGTCTTATTCCTCCTTCCAATCTATAGTCCAAGGGGCGTCCAGAGGCATCTTTTTGAAAAGCACATGTGATCACGTCACTCTCCTGATTGAAACCCCTAAATGGTTCCCCACTGTTCCTAGGAGTAAGCTCTTTGCTGGGGCCTTCGAGGCCCTCACAAGCTGGCCCTGACTAACCCCCAGCCCTCTGCCTCACAGCCTCCCTCCTCACAGCCACACACACCAGCCAAGTCTGAGTCTCAATATTGCCCAGCACTGCCCAGCTCTGGGCCCTTCTTGGTTCTTCCCACAAGGCAGTCCCACCCAGCACACAGCTCCACGTGTAAAAGGACTGCCTGACCCTCAAGGCCCAGCTCGAATGCTGCCTCCACCAGGAAACCTCCTCACTTTGCTCCTTTCATTGTGTGTCTCCTGCTTTATTTTCATTGTCCCTGTAAGAGTAGGGAGTGTTGGAGTCTACTCTGTCTCAAGGCCCAGCCCTGCCCAGCCCCAGGCCCCATGCAGGTTTCTTCAATAAATAAATGAACACATCAATGTAGGGGTGATAATGGCAGAGCCTGGGGTCCTTCCCAAATCTGAGCAGAGCTGAGATGGTGTTCAAAGGCATGGCCTAGTGCCCCCGGGAGGTGACAGTAGAGGTAATGATGAGGCCCCGAGTCCAAGATTTCCAGACCTGTCCAGCCACCAGGACACCAGTCACCCCGAGCAGCCCCAGGCCTGGATTCCCCTGTTTCTCTTTAGCAGCAGCAGCAGCTTCCAGTGCTTCCCTGCTCCACTTCCAGGCCTCACTTGGCTTTGGGGAGACTTGCTGTACCCCTATTTACCCCATCCCCTGGGATCCTGCCATAGCTGCCCCTTCCTGGTGTTTCTTTCCAGCCTTCCTTTTTGAGAGCTCAGTGAACACACAGTGAACATGGACCCAGATTCACAGAACATCTCCATTCCCTGCCCGCCTCCAGCCTCAGTGGCACCGTCTGTGTGAATGGAAAGCTGGGCATGGCCTCCAAGCAGCAGTCCAGCTCTCCCGCCCCCTGGCTGCAGGTCAGCACAGCCTTTGCAAGAGCCCTCAGTCCCCTCCCAGGCCCTCTTCCTGCTTCCTCTGTTGGTCAGAACAGAGGCACAGAGCAGAGAAGCACAGCCTGCAGCTCACAGCCTGAGGGGAGACACTCAGCCCTCTCTGACCAGGCTAGAGTGCGGGCTGCCGGCCTGGGCCCTGGATGCCAGGGCCGGAGTCTGGACTTTATCCCGGGGTGACTGAGGGTTTACAGTCACATTTACTGTGAGAAAGGTCACTGATTAGATACCATTCTTCACCCATGAAATTGGCAAAGAATTTTTTTAAATGTCTATCATTAGCTAAGGTGCCGAGAAGTAGACAGTATCACCAGCTGCTGGTGGGGATGGAATAAATTCACATGAACTTCCTGCGAGGTGAGTTGGAAGCATGAACCAATAGACTTAGAAACATCCAGAGCCTTTGACCCAACAGCTCTACTTCTAGGGATCAATCTAAGAAAATAATCAGAGGCACAAAGATTTATATATGAGGATGTTAATCACGGCATTATTTATAGTAATAAGAAATTGTAAGAATCTTAATGTCCAACCACAGAGGAATGTTTAAATAAATGCTGGTGGAATCCATTGAAAGAATATGATGCAGCCATTAGAAATCTTTGAATATTTGATGATGGGAAATGCTCACAATGTAATTAACAGAAAAAAGCAGAACACATAATTTTGTATTCAGTAGGATCCCAATTTTACTTTTTTAAAGTGCTTTTCTTATGGCTATATGAATAAGTATGTATGTAGAAAATTCTGATAAACTATGATGAAATATTAGCTAACAGTTACTTCCTCTGGGTAATGGGGTTATAGATAGGTATTGTTTTCTTTTTTTCTGAGGAAGAGTAGTCCTGAGCTACATCTGTGCCAAACCTCCTCTATTTTGTATGTGGGTCACTGCCACAGCATGGCTGACGAGTGGTGTAGGTCTGTGCCAGGGATCCAAACCCACAAACCTTGGCCGCCAAAGCAGAACATGCCAAACTTAACCACTATGCCATGAGGCCAGCCCCAAGTATTGTTTTCTTAATTAATTAATTCCAATATCATCCAATATTTCTAAAATGAACATGACTTTGAACTTAAAATTAATGTTTTTGATTTTCAAGAAATGGAAGATCACCTGGCTCCAGCGTAGAGCACAGATGAGAAGGGCCCCAGCCTGAGGGCAGGAAGTGAGCAAGCTGTAGCGGTCAAGCAGAGAGGGTGGAGCTGAGAAATACTGGGTTGACTCTGAGGATTGCAGAGGTGGGTGAGGGAGAGAGGACTGCCGGTTGACACCGGGTTTCTGGCTTATTTGTATGGATAGTGCTACCACCCACTGAGACCCAAGATAGGGAAGCTGGGGTTGGTGATGAGTTTGTTAGGACATGTGGAGTCCCCCGTATCCACCGGGTGGCAAGAGGGCGCTGTTCTCTGAGCAGTTAGAAAATCAGTGGTAACAAACTTCCAATGTTTTATTTTGACTTGTGTTCTAGACAAAAATTCCAACAGACAAATCATAGTATAACGGGAAAATTTGCAGCTGCTGCTGCTTTATTGAAGGCTGTTTTTTAGTCCCTAAACTGTGTCAAGTTATCATTCTTTATTGTGAAGGAAAAGAAAGAGAAGGAGATGGAAGGGGAAAGGAAGAGGAAATCTGTAGAAACTCATGCATCCCACCAAACTCCTGACTAACAGTCCCTCACCAGGGCTTGGGGTCCCACCCTATACAGCAATTCACTTCCCTCAATCTTGCATGAATCCAGGTGATCACAACCATCCTCGAAGGAGACACCCCACTTCACAACCCAGGAGGCCCAGGCCCACAGCAGCAGAGTCATGGCTCCTGAGCCTCCGATCCAAGGGGCAGGCCTGCAATGAGACCCGGTCTTCAGATTCTCCATCCAGTGTCTCTCCTGTGCCTATCGCACCTCAGCCAGGCCCTCCTGGGGCAGTGCAAGGAACCTGGGGTCCCTGAAGCCTCACAGCTGCCAAACCTGAAACCTTACACCATGTAGTTGCAGTTTGAACTTTAAATTGGGCAGAGACTTTGAGGTCCCCAAGGGCAGGGAGCTGCGAGCTGTCTATGTGGCGGGGGACCAGGAGGACAGTCCTCGGGGCCTCAGCCCTGGCCCATCCCAGCACGGTGTGTCTGCTGGTAATGAACTCAGCACTTCCCTTCTGGGCTCTCCCCTGGTGGCCTGCTCCAGCTACCTGCACGCACTGATGCCACAGGGCCAATAGGTAGGAGGTAAGGAGAATCCATCTAGCATGTTCTATTCTCATGAAATCTTTTAAACATATAAAAAACAGAATATTTGCTTGGTGAAGGGGACATGAAGATACTAATAATATCAGCTACCACTAATTGAATACTTACTTAGCACGTGCCAGGCTCTGTGCTAAGAGCTTTGCAGGCATGGTCTCACTGGATCCTCAAAATAACCCCACGAAGAAATACTATTCTTATCTCCATGGTGCAGGTAAGGAAGCTGAGGCCAAGAAAACCATTAGCAGGTGGCAGGTCTGGGACTGGGCCCTGGGTGGTCTGATGCTGAGGCTGCACTCACTCGCTCTGCTCCATAGCGAGCAGGTGGTGAGGAGGAATCCCAGCTCCGGGCATCTCGGGTAAAGTAACAGGAGCTTTCTTCTTGTTATGTCCCTTGCCTTTCTTTTACAATAATTTGAGAAGGCTAAAATAAGTATTAAATGGTTATAACTAGATTTACCAGCCAATTGATATGATAAACCTTGCAAAGTGACCCTGGGTCTACCAGACCTCAGGGTTGGAAGTTGCTAGAAAAATGTGAGGCAATGTTTCTGAGGTTACAGAGTACCAGAGATCACCTCGCTGAAGGACTCCATTTCACAGAAGGAGAAACTCGACCAAGGTCATACAGCAGAATCCGAATAAAGACAAGAGTCAAACCCAAGCCTTTAGACCCAGTCCAGGGCTCATTCCGTGGCATCCCCTTGCCTCTCAGGAGGTGTAAAACTGGGGAGTGGAATTAGACAGTTATTCTCAGAGACACTCAATTCCCTATCATTCCGTGAACCTGATTTTCCAGGACGTGACAGAGTAGGACGTTGGCAGATAGATGCTAGAGTAGTTTTCTGAGAGTTTGCAGTCGTCTGCTCAGCAGTATTTCTGGTTCTCCTCCTTCTGGGTATGTGGTGGGATTACCCAGGCCAGTGGGCTGTGGGCAGATGCGACACGTGTCACTTCCGTGTCAGAGCATTTAACTGCTGGGATGAGAATCTCCAATGTGTTCTTCCCCAGCCACAATAACCTGCGATGTTCAGATGGTGGAGCCTCCATCAGCCAGGGTCTCTGAGGAGGACAACATGGAACAGAGCCCCCTGAAAACCTACAATGGACACACAGCACAAGAAAGAAAGAAACCTTGACATGGTAAACCACTAAAACTACGAGGTTGTGTTACTGCAGCGTGACCTGGCTCCTCTTAACAGATGCCCCAGCGGAACAGCAGCCACTCCCTGATGTCACAGCCTGTGCCCATGTTGCAGAATCAAAGCTGTCAATAACCCAGCAGCGCAGTATGTTCTAGACACAGACTTGTTGTTATGGTCCATAAGCCTGTGGCCTCCTGGGCTGGTTCTAATTTCCATGAATGTGAGGACACCCAGCACAGTCATGAGTTAGCTCTTCAGAAAGAGCTGCTGTGACTGCAGATGGGAGACTGGTGCCCGGAAAGCTCTTCTCCCAGCAGCCACAATGGCTGCACTGCCCTACTGGGGTGTGTGCCCTGGGAGGGGGCGGTCTCAAGGTAAGACATTTGGGATCAGGGTTTTGGGCAGAAGAACAGTACTGGACTCAGGTGGCAGTCACGACACCTCCCGGGTGCAGGCACTGGAAGGGTTAGTGATGAGTCGGACACAGACCTTTGATTTCAAGAGCTCACAGTCTAGCCAAACAAAGAAACACAACGAACTAACTACAGTGGAAGGCAGAATGAAATTCACCTGTGCTAATGGCTGTGCAAGCATCATGTTGTCGGGATGGTCAGTTCAATGGAGGCATCTGAGAAGGCTGCACAGACGAGGTGTGTGTGAGCTGCCCTTAAAAGATGAGTGGAAGAGAAAGGCCGCTCCAGGCTGAGGAAAGAGCGTGAGAAGAGGGACAAGACAGGAGCATGTGGGGTTCGTCCATCAATGGGGAGTGGTTCTGCTGAGGCTGGCACAGGCAAGCGTGAAGGGATGGGGGTGAGGCAGGAGGGCAGGCCAGAGCCTGATCACAAAAGCCCTCGAATGCCTCTGCCATTCCCACTCGGTCTGTTAGAGACAAGGGTGAGGGAAAGCAATGCAGAGTCAGGCAGTTTCCTGCCTTTCGCCTGCTTGAAAACACCCCACCTGTGTTCAGTGTCAGACTTGGGAGTTAACATAGGTCTTATAACTGAATCTGAAATAGTATGGGCATAATCCAGCCACGTGAAGTCATTACCTAGAGAAGACGCTTCCTGTCAACTTCTTTTTTCCAGATTTCAGGTTTTACTTTGTCTTTACATCCCAGACTCCAAGAGAATCTCAGAGGTTTCTGAAGCTGTGTCCAAGGTCGCCGAGGGGGAAGGGAATGAGTGTGAACTGTTGGGGCAGAAGCCACATCTGCCTGTGCTATGTCCCCAGCGCTGAGCACAGGGCCAGCACACAGTCGGTACTCAACAACCATTTGTTGAGCAAGTGAATGAGTGAGCCAGCACGCTCCGGCAATTCTTTATCTTTTGGCCAAACCTCCGCATGAGAAACGCTACCTTTAAATGTTCACGTGGATAAGATTTAAGGTCAGTTGCTGACCCAGATTAATCAACCTCCCCTGAATGTTCCAGAAACTCCCTTAACAAGCACCCTGATTCAGGCTGGAGGAGGGAAAACGGGCCCAGGATCTTGGGAGAGAGGGGGTCGTGACAGACCCTAGAGCTCTTGTCTGGGGGGTAGCAGGCCCAGAGCCAGCAGGTGCCTGGGGCTGAAGACACAGTCTTTGATCTGGAGCCTCAGTAATAACATGTTACTGCCAGGCGGCTCGCCGGCACCTTCCTGTGTATGCCTCACCTGAACTACACAGCATCCCCAGTTTTTCAGAAGGACACTGAGTCTCGGAGAGGCCAAGTGACTTGGTCAATATCACACAGCTAGTTAGTGCTGAAGCTGGAATACAAGGCTGGGTTTTTTGAATCATGCATTGAGTATCTGTGGACAGCACTCACTGTAGAAGTTGCAGGAAGGAAGAGGACAGAGTCCTGCTCTCAAGTGTAGTAGAGGAGACAGGTGCACAGAGGGATGGCCAAAGGCTGTGGGAGCACAAGGAGGGAGCAGGTGACTCTGCAAGGCACAGGAGGGAGAAGAGAGGAGGAGAGGTGGAGCTGGGCTCTGAGGAATGAGCCGGAATGCCCCCACTGGGGAAGGGAGGGAGGACTTGCCTGCAAAAGGGAACTTCTCAGGTGAAGATGCAGTGCTGGAAAAAGATGTGCTTTATTCAGGAGAGGGTGAGCCCTGCGGCCCCAACAAATGGTGGGTGCAATTGAGGAGGAGGAGTGAGGGCAAAATCCAGCCCTGAAGGACAGACAAGGCTCCAGCGTTGTCATGGGACACTGGCCTCACAGTCAGTCCGGGAGAGAAGGGGCCAGAGGAGGGGGACTATATCTTCTGAATGACACAAGTTTACACTCAGGTCCTACTGCTCCTTTAGACCAGGGGTCACCTGGGCCATGAGACAGCTTCCTGTCTCACAAGACTACTGTGCCTTGGGGACATTTGGGCTCCCTCCTGTGAATACCTGACATGCATTTCCCAAGGGGACAGTGAGACCAGCTTGGAAGAGCACTGAAAGCCACCTGGGCGAAGGCTACAGCCTCTTCCCGCCCCTCCCTTGATAAAGCCAGTCAATGACTGACAACACCTCTGCCAGATTAGAACCTGGTTTTCCCCCCTTCTGTGACATCATCGCCAGGATCATTTATCCTAAAAAGCAATATAGAGGCCAAGAAGTGGGTCACTTGGCTCTCATGACCAGGTTAAATACTGTGACCAGTGGCTCTACTGTGATATGTATGCTCTCTTAAAAATCAACAGATGGCCTATGGGTCCTTAAGGAGAAATGACCAGAAATCAGGCTTACACATCCTGTGGGGTGGCAGTGTTTGACCTTCATGGCCCAAAGGAACACTAGGTGAGCATCACTCATCACCCACCTGCCTTCCAGAGCTCATCTCACCCAATTCAGGGAAGAGGGGGCAGCCCTTGTGACAGGTGTGGCATCTTTCTGTCCACTTATTTTTCTTGCTGCCGTAGCCCCAGCACCTAAACAATACCTAGCACAGAGCAGGCTTCGAAAAACATCCAGCGAATGAATGAATCTGAAATACTATGGGCATAACTCAGCCATTAGAAGCCATAGCCTAGAAAAGATGCTTCCTTTTAACAGCCAAGAACTCTTTAGATTCCCAAAGAGCGTGTCAAACCTGAATCCTACTCTATTGTCTCCCTGAGCCCACCCTGAGGAGAACAGCAAAGAGCCTTGGAGACTAGAATGTGCCTCATGTCCCCTAAGTTAGGTCAGAACTGCAGAGCTGAGAGGGCCAGCCTACAGACCTGAAGCCCAACTCTCTCATTATACAGATGGTGAAACTGAATTCCAGAGGCAAGGCTGACCTGCCCCAGGTCACACAACCAGGGGGCTTGGCTCCCAGGCCAGCCAGAGCTTTTTCCAACACCTGTGTGGTCCAGATGGCAAAGGAAGGAGAATGAGATGGATGGGCAAACCAGAAGGCTGTGACAGAATATGTCCTGCTGGGGCTACATGAACACCACAACCTGGAGAAGGTCCTGTTCATGCTCTGCCTGGGCTTCTACTCAGTGAATGTGCTGGGGAACTCCCTCCTCATAGGGCTGAACCTGCTGGACCCGCACCTGCACAGCCCCAGGTACTTCTTTCTCAGAAACCTCTCCCTCATTGACATCTGTGGCACCTCCTCCTTCGTGCCGCTCATGCTGGTCAACTTCCTGGAAGCCCAAAGGACCACCTCCTTTCCTGGTCGCCCCCTGCAGATGCACGTGACCCTGGCGCTGGGCTCCACTGAGTGCCTGCTCCTGGCTGTGATGGTGTGTGACCGTTATGTGGCTATCTGCCAGCCACTTAGGTACCCAGAGCTCATGAGTGGGCACATGTGCATGTGGATGGCAGTGCTGAGCTGGGGGACAGGCTTTGCTGTCTCACTGCTGCAGTCTGTCATAACCTGGAGCCACAATATCATCAATCACTTCTTCTGTGAGGTCTTGGCAGTGCTGAGACTGGCCTGTGGGGACATCTCTCTCAATGCACTGCTATTAATGGTGGCCACGGCCATCCTGACACTGGCCCCACTCCTGCTCATCTGCCTACCCTACATTTCCATCCTTGCTGCCATCCTTAGGGTACCCTCTGCTGCGGGCTGGCACAAAGCCTTCTCCACCTGCTCTGCCCACCTCACAGTGGTGGTGGTTTTCTAGGGGACTGTCTCCTTCACGTACTTCAAGCCTAAGAACCCCTACTTGGATAAGATTATTGCATTGTTCTATGGGATCATGACACCCTCACTGAACCCCATCATCTACAGCCTGAGGAACGCAGAGGTGAGAGCTGCTGCCATAGCCCTGCTGGGGGGAGACCTGCTCTCCAGGAAAATGTCGCACTTCTCCTGTTGCTCTCCAACTCCATCAGGCAGGATAGGCTAGGTCAATATTGTGGTAATGACCTCAAATTTCAGAAGCTTAAAACCACAAAGGTTTATTTCTCACTCATGCTGCAGGTCCATTCGAGGTTGGCTGGGGGTCTGCTCTGCATCATCATCTTCATCGCTCTGGGACTCAGGATAAAGCAGCTACCATGTGGAACAGTGCTGGTCACCACAACAAAAGGAAAAGAAAAAGTGACAAAGCCTGCACTGACCCTTAGAGCTTCCATTCAGAAGTGGCGTGTTACTTCCACTTACAGTTTTTGGCCAATGCAAGGCACGTGGCCACAGCTAGCATCAAGGGGTGGTGTGGGGGAAGCACACCTACCCGTATCTGGAAGCAGAGGGAGGATCAAGAAGTTTATGAATAGCCTAATGACTGCCACGCCACCTCCATCGACCCAAGAGCTACTAGAGATTTGTCTTGCTTTTCTCTGACCACCCATCCTTCACTGGCTGCTGCCAGGTTAATCATCCCAGGAGAGCTCTGGTTAGCTCACTTGTGGTGGCTTTGTACTAGGTCAAGCTAATTAGGTTGGAACCATGCCTCCCAGACTTTCCTTCCCTATATGTTTCTGGGTTAGGTTTGACCACAAGAGAAATTTGCACGAGATCTGGAAGGCAAAGTGAAACAGCGGGAGCACTCACCTGCCATCGCTGATGTGCTGGCTCACCTTGGTGTCAGTGCAGCCCCTCCAGGTCCCACCACATTGGCTCCTTCAGCTGTTCTGAATCTTGTGCCAAGTGCAGCTCCATGGCAAAGAGTGCTAGCTTCTCCTGCAGGTCACCAGTGTCACTGAGATTGAAGGCAGTGAGAGCCAGACACTGGTTCCAGATTGTCCTCCTGGGTGCTAGTTTGTCCTTCCCCTTCCCCTTCCCCACTTCGCGCCTGCCAGCCCAGCTGACATACAGCGGCTTCAGGCCCCACACCCAGTGCAGAGTAACAGCTTTGCACAGACTTCTCCAACTGCTCCCGCAAGTGTACAGGGCAATTCTCTGTAATAAACCCCTTATATCACTCAGAGGGGTTCTGCTACTTTGATCAAACCCTGACTGATTCATTACTATTCTGATCAAGAACCTTTGATGGCTCTCCATTACCACCGCATTAAGTCCAAATTCTTCAGCTGAGACCCCAGGCCCTCCAGAATCTGCGCCCCTACCCCTGCTTCTTCAGCCCAATGTTCCACTAACCCCCTTCACACGGACTGTCCCCACCACCACATTATATGTGCTGCCCGCACCTCCGTGTCTTTGCTCACACTGTTCTCTGGTAAAAGCGGGACTGTTTTTCAAACCCAGCTTAGACACCACCTCTTTCATACATCCTGTCCTGATACATTTTGAAAGTGTTCTCTTTCCTTTACGTCCTGCGTCACTTTGTTGACGTCTTTCACCCAGGACCCATCCCGTTCTGCTTTGCATTTGCAATATTTCACCACAATGTGAGCTCCTTGAGGGCAGGCCTCAAGCAGCTCTGGCTCATCACAGACCTTTCCCTATAGAAGCGTTACTGAACTGAATTGTCACTCAAAAGCCCACACAACGTCACCATCTGGGGATTGAGCCCTGTGCTGCTGGGCACTGTGTGGACAGATACAAGTGAGGGAGCAGCAGTATCTGGGGGCCACAGGCCTGTATTCCAGGAAGGCAGGAGTTGTTGGCATCCTGGGCTCCCCTCTATGAAGACAAGTCAGGAGACAACCATGGACCCCACTCAGGGAGCCAAGAGGCCAGGGTTCCAGACCTGGTTCAGCTGCTCTGCCCAGCCCTGTCTTCTTGCTGGAATCCCCAGGAATCCCACAGGCACCTCACACTCATGCTGTCTAAAACTGAACTCATCATTCTGCCCCCCAAAGTTGTGTCACCATCTCAGGGAATGGCACCATCACCCCTCAAGTCACCAAGCCAGAAACATGGCAGTCATCATAGACTTTCATCCCTCACCACCCCACACTTCCAATCAGTCACTAAGTCCTATGGAATCTACCTTCTAATAACTCCTAAATCAGTCCCCTCCTTTCCACTGACACTGCTTTAAGAAGCGTTTGCATCTCTCTCTCAAATATCGGAACAGCTGTGTCACTGCATTTTCATCCTCCAAACTCTCCAAAATCCATCCTCTGCACCAGCCATCAAGACACCAATCAGATCATGCTACTCTCCTGCTTAAATCCTCCCCTGGCTCCTCATTTCCCATAGGATAAAAGCCAGATCCCGCCCATCCGTCCAACCTCATCACTGGCTGCTTGCCTCCACTCCCGCTCCACCCACACACGCTCTCCAAGCCCAGGCACACTGAACTATGCCCAGTTCCCGTATAAATATCAGTCTTTCCTGCCTCTGTGTCTCCCCTTGCTCTTCAAACACTGCTGTACCTTTAGCTACATATATTGGATACTTATCACCTACCAGGCTAGACACTGTAGTGTGTTCTAAGTGCTTCACTGCCCGGGGACCAGATGGAATGAGGGAGATCTCAGGGGAGAATACAACATGGACACTGGTGACCAGAGAGCACACTCTCTCCACATCTTGGCATTATGGAAACTCACTCAATTCTCAGCCCCTCCCCCTCCCGGAAAGCCCCTTCTCACCTCTCCTAGCTGGGTGGAGTCTGTCCCAGCTCTATTTCCCTCTTCAGGGCCTTCTGTACTCTGTGGACTCTGTCCTGAATCCCAGCTACTTGGGTTCATGAGTCCTAGTGACTGACTCTATACATCCTAATGTGATGCTATAATATTTCTGATACAGGAACAGACACCTAGCCCACACCTCTTGCTCCTTCTCACCACTCCGTTGGCCACATCATTCTCTGCTCAGTGCCCCAAGGAAGAGATGTGCTTGCAGAAAGCAGAGAACAAGGGGATGTTTTCCTGGCTTTTGAGCTTCAAAGCTCAGGCCCTCAGCCTGGTGGCATAGTGGTTAAGTTTGCACGCTCCGCTTCAGTAGCCCAGGGTTCGCAGGTTCGGATCCCAGCCGCAGACCCAAACACCGCTTATCAAGCCATGCTGTGGCAGGCGTCCCACATATAAGGTAGAGGAAGATGGGCACGGATATTAGCCCAGGGCCAATTTTCCTCAGTAAAAGGAGAAGGATTGGCAACCGATGTTAGCTCAAGGGTAATCTTCCTCACAAAAAAAAAAAGTAAAATGCTTAGGCCCTAAAGGGAACAGAAAAGACTTAAGGCATAGACAAAAGATCTGGGAGAAAACATGAAAAGTAAAAGTAAGTCTTCCCCACTTCCAGAAGATTAACAGAGATTCCCTGAGTAGGGAGAGGGAGAGAGGAGGAAGGGCACAGTGAGAGCACTGGCCCAGAGGGAGGGGCCCTGAGCCTCACTCCCCAGGCCACGCCGCTGGACCTGAAAGGTGGAGCAACTCATGCCTTGTTGGTCAAGTAAAACCCAGAGCAGGACCCCAGGGAAAAAATGGCTTCAAGGTGTGTCTGGGTGGCCCAGGTCTCACAGGTCTTGGCAGGTGGCACAGAAGTGGTAGAGAGAGCCTTAGGACAGCAAAAGGTTAGCAGATGGAAACAAGAAACCGCTCTGGGATGGCCTGCCTGCACCGCTGACTGGGGACCAGGTGGGATGATGGAAATCTCAGGGGATGGGTGCAGCATGGACCCTGGTGACCAGAGAGAACACTCTCGCAACATCTTGGCATTATGTAAGACCCTCAGAACTCAGCTGCAACCCTTGTGGAAAGAGAAGAAATTCTGGGTTGACAAAATATCATGTTCCTGGCACTCAGGCAAAATGGGGGCTCAAAACAGAAGTTACATTCCTGTGATATTTCTTGTACATCTGAGATTTGTACCTGCCAGTCCAATTTCCTGGGACCTCAGCTTCCTTTCCTGTTCCTTCCCAGGTCTCTCTCACTGATTCAAATCATCTCAGTGCACACACACACACACTCACAACTCCCCACCCCCGGCCATTGCAGCCTGCAGTGCTGGGCAAAAGTCTCAGACAGTAGCTCATTCCAGCTGGACTCCCATCACCCCTGCTGACTTCCTCAGGGTCCCTCCCCACACACACACCCTTGGCCCAGGAAAAAGGCAGCACAGAACCAGCAAATACTTCATTGGAGACACACGTGACTCCACCTGCATCAACTCAGGAAACGAGCCATCCCAGCCCCATCTGTCCTGCAATCCCCCCTCCCAGCACAGAACAGCCCAGATGCTGCGTCTGGAAAGGAAGCCTGAGGCCAGAGTTGCTGAGCTGCTGGGAAGATTGGAGACTCGGTTTCCTCAAGATGGACCCCATTTCCTCAGGAATAATGCCATGTTCCTGAAAGGGCTGTCTCCCTGGGAAGGAATCCATGTCCCCAGGAGGGCTCCACATCCCTGGGAAGGGGTCCACACAGGGGGGCTCTGCGGCTCTGCACAGGCTTCAGTCCTTAAGAAGGACTCCATGGATGCAGGAGGACCCCAGGACACAGGAGGTGTGCCAGGTCCCTGGAAGAGTTCATGTCCTTAAGAAAGACTCCATGTCATCAAGAAATACAACTTGTCTCCTGTCCCCAGAAAGGCTCCACGCTCCCCGGAAGAACCCAGGAAGGGCTCTCTGCCCACAGGAAGAGTTCATGTTCCCCAAGGACCAGGCCCAAAGCCCCCCTCAGCTGGCACAGATGCTGCTGACAGTGGCCCCTCCAGGGCCCACAAGGCCCAGCTCCTCCTGCTCATTGATGCACAGCTGGTAACCACAGCCCCGGGCCCGGGCTCCTGACGGGACCCGGTGGTCGGTCTTGGCACGAGGGGGCAGCAAGAAGCCCACACTGCCAGCGATGAGCATATGCCAAATGCTGTGAATGTAGAAGTAGTTGTCTCGCGTCTCCACGAAAGCGTAGAGTAGGACGGCACTGCCAGCAATGAGGCTGCCCGGGCACAGGTAGAAAAGCCAGCGGCGCCATGTGGGCGGGTAGCAGTGCCGGCGGCGGACACTGCGCACTGTCTGTGGGGCAGAGAGGTGGGGCTCAGGGATGGCAGGCCTGGAGC